ACCTTCACTGCGCTCGACAATACAGCGTCTCTAGGGTACATACTCGAAAAAAATACTAACAGCGGCCTTGATCCACCAGTTTGATTGCCTTTCGACGCGGTGGTATTTGACAACTGGAATGCTTGCAGGCATCCCAATCATCTTGAAGGTTTCTTAAAGGCACCATCTTTTTGCTTCCTTTCTCGTCTTACTTTCGCGGATAAATGGCCCTCTCAAATTATGGAAGACCAGGTTTTACATTCTACCTAGAATCATTTGAGTGGAATGTTTGACCATGGAGAGTGCTCTTTCAAAAACTTCTATCCGTGGAATAAGGACTGAAATCTCTCCAGACGATTTATCTTTAGCAGTCTGTCCTCCTTGTGTTTTTAACTTAATTCCTACCGACCTAGTTGGTTTAAGACTGGCGCTCCCTATTAGCTTTTTCTTTTTCGTAGTATTTGTTCTATTTTGCTGCAACTTAGGGGTTAACTCCTCAGCAACAATCATACCCCGTACCAATCGTGAGCACTCCAGTGCGAATGTCTCACACCGGTCACATATACACTTCAGATTATTGTTCTGAATGTGTATGAGATACCCCTTCTTTACTAAAAGTGAGCATTTTTGACGATACCACTTTCTGCACCTGTTGCAATCAATGCCCTCTGCTACATACAGATCGCAACGGGTGCCTCCACAATGATCTTCGCTCTGTGAGGAAATCATTGATAAAAGTGCAGTGACTATAAAACACGACCGGGAAAAACGAATACACGGTAAGTTAGCTAAATCGATTGGGGAACAAAACTATCAAAGCTAAAATAACTCATATATAACCTTTGTGAGCCGCTAAAGAGTTCTTATACAAACAGTATGCTGACTCACTCCAATTATCCAACATCTGCGCAGTGGAGCCTTGTTTGTACCCGGTTCACCGGGGTGCAGGACCAGAAGAAACCTTGGAAACCACTAAGACCCGGGACCATTGGACGTAGCCTCGCACCCGTGTAATACTTCAGGATTTCAAGACTACTAATGGATCCTTTTCCTTGGACAATAATTAACACTTGGCCGCAGTCAGTGCCAAGTCCCAATTATTTGACCACTCAACTACACGTTAAATGTCCCTCGCTAGGTTAGTCCTGCCACTCAATCCCACTACATTCACATCATCCATGAAAACGAAACAAGGTGAGTTCGTTAACTCTTCTAAGTCATTGATGAATAAAAGAAAGAGTGATGGTCCGAGAATTGATGACCTGACAACTGGCCTTCCCTACCCTCACTACGAAGGTTCTATTTGTGGGGAAAGCGGTTAATCACCTATGCAGATTTCCTTCTAGCCCAAATCTTTTGCTTTCGTGAAGGAGTAATCTGTGGTTCACTGGATCGAAGGCTTTGCTAAAATCGATGCAGCAAACCTCAGTGGTACAGCCCTCATCTAGATTTTGTAACTTCATCCAGGTATCACAGAAGGTTAGGGAGACATGATCTATGTTTTAAAAATCCATGCTGCGCCGCTTTTCTTAAGGTGTAACGCAGTAGATGCCTACATACGTGCTCCCTAATCAGATTCTCCATGCGTTTGCAGAGGATGCTGGTTAGGCTTACTGGTCTGTAGTTCCTTGTGTCGGACTTCTGCCTACCCTTGTGAATGGCGACCACGATAGCTGTCTTCCAGTCACTAGGTAGAACTCCGTCCGCCATTGACACTTGGACGAGCAGGCTCACGGGTGTAGCAAGGACATTAGCTATTGGTTTAATGATGGCGGAATGAATTCCATCTGGCCCAGGGACTTTGTTTACGTTGAGTTCCAACAGAACCTTGCGCACCTCCTCTGGTGGCACGACTAGTTCCTCTATAATCTGGATCTGTTGACCCCCTCAAGACGGAATAACCGACTGTCTATCCTCTGGGCAAACAAATGTGTGGGTGTTTGTGTGAGAATTCGTCAATAAGCAAGCGACGCAAGAACAAACTTACATCAAATGTAATCGTTGTGGGTTGGGAAGGATTTTAAGAAACATGGAATACAGTAACTGCTCCTGTAAGGGAACAGAAGCTTCTTCACAAGGCAGGAACACTTGAAACACCGGAAAGATTATCTGGATTCCGCAGCTGGGTCACGGTTTTGTCCCGTACACTTCGGCATAAGCCAGTCGTGGTGAATGAGGGCTCCAGTGGTCAGGACGACCTGTTGGTCCAAATTCCTCTGACCCGCTCAGAGTCGCAAGTGCTAAGAATAGTCTACCGTCCACCCTCCTGTTGGAAGCTAGAATCAAAAGTTCTGATAGAGTAATTGAATAAATTAAGATCCGTGTGATCTAATGCACATCCTCTAATAACCGGAGACTTCAACCCTAGGAGCTTAGAATGGCGCAGACTTCAAGCCCCAGATAAAACCTTTGGAAGGCTACTAGTCTATTTGGTCACAGAGCTTTCATGGACTCGGCACATCACAGGCCCAGCAAGATTCAGAGAAAGATAATCCCCTTCACTGCTAGACCTCGTCAAGATAGAGGGTTAAGAAGCCCCACAGAAAGGTTCGCGTTTCTGAGGGAAGGATGAACCAGGCATAAACCCATATGGTAGAAAACTGGGATAGCGCGGTCACTGAAAATTCGCCGACAATACTGGGATCGCTTTAAACTTTACGGCACTCAACAAGCGGGTGCGCAACAAATGTCATGATCTCCAAAGGCGTGCCAAATATGACTTTGTGTTTAACTTAACGCGAGGCGTCAAAAGGAGCCCGAAAAGGTTCTGGGCGTACGTGCAAACCAACGCACGAACACCGGAGAGTGTAAGAGCACTAGCTTTGCCCGAAGGAGGCATAGCTACGTGTAATCGTGATAAAGCGGAAACTCTACTTAAGTAATTCAAAAGCGTTTAAAGGTCACCAGTCAGCTTTGATAATCCGGGTTTAGTAAGATTAACTGTGTTGATTCTTCTCCTCAGAATCATTTTCTGTTCTTTAGACTCATTTCCCACTCTACCGCTTCCCCTTTGTTCCGCTGACATTCGTTTTGTATTGGTTATCGATTTCTTACATAATCAAGCGAGTGCGTAGTTGTCCTAATCTCTGAAACCTCAACGGACATGCAGACACACGCACACCGATCACTCGTATGACATCAACCACACGAGTTCTCTTGTGACCTCCATTGTCCCTTACTATTAGTTGACCTATGTTCCGTCTACCCTTGTTCTATACCGGTTCACCGCTTATTATTATCGATTATTTAATCACCTACGCACATGTGACTTGTTTTGATGGCTCCCCGGCAGTCACCTGTTCGTGTACACACACATTAATGCATGAAAGCACGCCTGTCGTGTTTGTTAAGAGGTCGAATTGTGTGCGCCCAACTGACTTATGATTGGTTCATACTTTGGGAGCTTCATGTCACTGCCTGACTGGACTTATTTTGCTTGGCTCCGTTTAGTTTGATCATATTCTCTTTTTGACACAGCGTTAAGTTGTCCCCTTTTTGAAGCACCTTAATTGTAAGGTGAATTCCGACATAGCCGAGAGCTGTCATATTCCTATTTGATGCACGTATATCTGGAAGTTACCATGCTGAGCAACTGCGAACTAGTGTTTCGGAGGTTAGAATGCCTGAAACGCAGGTTGATGCGAGATCCAAATTTATTTAACAGGTACAATAGTTTATTGAACGAGCATTTTCTAAAGGGCTATTTGGACCGCGTACCTGACTATTAACTGGAAGTCGCTTACAGACCTAGGTGATACCTACCACATTATCCAGTGGTAAACCCAAAGAAACCTGGAAAGGTTAGAATAGTCTTTGATTGTGCAGCCGCCTATGAAGGAATTTGTCTTAACCAACATTTATTGTCAGGACAAAATACCGTAGCTAACTTTGTTGGAGTACTGCTGCGCTTTCGCTTAGACAAAATAACTGTAGCAGCAGACGTACAAGAGATGTTTTTGCAGGTTAGAGTGCCAAAACGTGACTCGGGGGCATCAGGGTTCCTATGGTGGCCTGGTGGAGATCTCAATCAACAACCAAAGGAATATAAAATTCTAGTTCACGCATTTGGTGCCACCTCGTCACTATTTTGTGCGAACTACGCCTTGCACTGCACGGTCGAATCATTCACAGACATAGGCACTGATCGAGTGAGAGGTGCATTGGACGATATTTTTACGTCCAAAAGTGTTAAGCATCGTTTGACGATGCCAAACAAACAATGCTTTTCGCGGATCAATTAAGAGTAGCACTTATCAGGGGAGGTTTCCGGCTATGCAAGTGGTTGAGCAACTGTAGTGACACCATATTCAAGAGAGCGAAAGGGCGGTTGGTTGTGCACAGCTAAATATGAATCTAGATACCCAAGAGCGCACTTTAGGCATGAATTAGCTTATTGTTGACTATGCTTTCGTCTTCCCGTTTGAAGCAATCCGGAGGACTGCTGTCGTATTTTGCTTCTCTGTATGACCCTCTGGGTCTCGCTACTCCAATACTTCTGATGGGCAGAGCATTTTTACAAGCACTTCAGCGTAAAACCCTTGGATGGGATGAACTAGTAGGTGAGAATGACCGGCGCACTTGGGAATCTTGGGTTAGTGAGATCAACAAATTGAAGGAACTAAAGGTGCCGAGGTTTGTAGGGAGTGAAAACCAAACAGTCCGTGAGTCAGCGCAAATGCACATATTCAGTGACGCGTCTGAATCAACGTACGGGGCCGCAGCCTACTTGAGGGACAGCATAAATGATAATAAATGATAACCTTATGCTTAAATTTCGCGTGGCTTCACTTAAGGCAGTTACAATACTCAGACTAGAGCTGGCGGCTGCCGTTGTAGCGATTAGGTTATGTGATACCATAAGTCAGGAGTTAGATATTTCAAAGGGGTCTGTATTCTACTGGACTGATTCAAACATTTTCCTTTATTACATAAACAACAGTTAAGCTCATCTAAGCACATTTAGAGCCAACCGATTGGCTATAATACATGAAAGCTCAACACCTCAGCAATGGTATCACGTAATGGGAACATTTAATCCTGCAGACCACGGCACTCGCGGTCTGAAGGCGGACGACCAGAAGTGGGAAAGTTTGCCCTGGGGGCCGCCATTCCTGAGAAGCTTAGAAAAAACTCCTCCATTCAAATTGGTCTCCGCTGAAGAAATCGAAGAGCAGATTGAGCTTAAGCGCACAATGACTCAACCAAACAACTGTCGCAATCAGCGTCAATTTACTTTCTTATCATTTGCAATGGTATAAGCTGTTACGAATAGCAGCTTGGTTGAGGCGCTTTACACAATATATCAGCGTAATGTTTGGAAATAAAGGCACCTTGTTGCTACGAGTGGGTAGACTTTCGATAGAGGAGATTGAGCTTGCACGCCAGAATGTTGTGCGTCTAGTTCAAGCGGAATCGTTCTCAGACTATCAGGTTTGGCTAATGGACCCTAAGGGGCACGTGCACAGGGGTAGCCCCTACGTAAATTGTGTCCAATTTTATTAAAGGGAATGCTTCGAGTTGGTAGTAGACTGCAATGTGGGCACTTGCCGCATGATGCAAGACACCCAGCTATCCTACCCCCAAGACACCATGTAACCGAACTTCTCACACGTCACTCTTCATGAAAAGGAACGTCAATCAGGGCCCGAGCACGGGTTATTTGAAATTAGGAGGCGGTTCTAGATAACCAAAGGTGGTGCAGCAGCAAAGAGAGCTTTGAGCAAATGCACTCACTTTCGTAGGCAACTGGGTAAGCCAAATTACCAGCTAATGGCTCCATTGTCTATAAATGGAATGAGTAGCCAATTACCATCATTCCACTCGGTTGGTCTAGACTATTTCGAACTATTTTATATTTAGCGGGTCCGGTCCGTGGAGAAAAGATACGGATGTATCTTCACCTACATGACCATGAGAGCAGGGCTTTTTTACGATCTTGGTCTAAGGATAAAATACATAATCATCTCCTTAATGACACGGTACAGTGGCACTTCAACCCTCCTAACGCTAGCCATACGGGCAGAGTTTGGGAAGGATTGATTAAGATAATAAAGAGAATACTGACGGCACTCATCAGTGCAAAACAGATGACCGAAGAAGTGTTACTGACGTCCCTGGTAGAGACCGAACGGATAATGGATAATAGACCGCTCGTTCCGCAATCAGTCGATCCGCAAGCTTGCAAGGCACTCACGCTACAGATTTTGCTGACTATAGGGCGGTGCAATTTGAGTTCTGAGGTGAAAACCATTCTAGGCTGTTATAATCGTAGATGGCGAGAAGTGCAGGATATTGCAAATTGCTTCTGGAAGCGATGGACGAATGAATACTTGCCATTACTTCAAATCAGATCCAAGTGGTATATAAGACAGTGACTTTCAACCGGGAGATTTAGTTATAGTGGTAAAGGAAAGCAAACCCAGGAATGAATGGCCTTTGGGTCTTATACAACAAACCAAAATCAGCAAACATGGAATGGTGAGAGAAGTGGAGGTAAAAACTACTAGTGGATCGTTCAGAAGAGAAGTCAGAAATATCTGCCGTTTAGAAGGGGTCCTGGACAATGTTCCTGATGTTGAACATGTAAGTAGTTGATGCCAGGAAACGATACGTTTATTTGTTCATTGTATTCTGCGATCCTTCCTTTTTCCCGCTTACTCAGACGAACTGTTCAATTCCTTATCACTGGCGCTTATCACGGAACCTTCGGTCTCTATTTTCAATTTACTCTTCACGTTCATCACCAATACTCCCCTCTCGTTTTACGTCTATCTCTCTGAAAATTCCGATACTTCAAAACCAACACTTTCTGTAACATCACACACTTGACAATCGACAAACATACAATCCAAAATGTTCGGCTATTCAAGTTGACTTAAACAGAAAAATTACGACACTTAGCGCAAATCTTGTCTAATAGAAATAAACAACCTTCTCCGGAAATAACATACCTCCTACTACCCGATAATTCCCGCGCTGACTCTTCCCACACAATATCGGAAGCCTTCAACAGCTTCTTCTCCTCTGGCATGACCTCGGACGGGATCGGCAGCTGTCCCGTCGTAATACCTTTGACAGATGCGACACTTTCCATTATCTCCTTCACCCTTTCCGACATTCAAAACTTACTTCGCACCGTGAAACCCTCCGTTAATCCCGGT